GTAGAGGCTCATAATAATCTCTGCCCATCTCTTTCCACCTGTCACAGCTTAGCCTGACAGCGCGTGCGAATTTCCAGTGTAAGAGTCGAGTTATAAGTGGGTGAGAGCGTGTCCGGGTCGCATTTCATCTTAGAACTTGGCGAATTACCTATAACTTAGAATCAGATGGCAGATCAAGGAATCAACACTAGCAGTCTTTCTATTGAGGTAAGAAATCTAATAACGTTGTGTGTTTGTGTGTGTGCGTGTGTGTGTGTGTGTGTGTGTGTGTGTGTGTATGTGTGTGTGTGTGCGTGCGTGCTTGCGCGCGCACGGGAGCGGGTCGGGGCTGGGTGGCAATAAAAAGTTATTAAAAATTTATATAACTTGAAATACATTGATTTATGTGCGTAATTATGGAGCAGTTAAAAAACAACATGAAAAACAAAGTACTAAAAATCAAACTGTCGGTTGGAAATAGTCAAAACCGAAATAATTTCAAATATTTGATTTAAAATACCAAATCGCCTTTTGTTCTTTGATGAACAAAATGACTGGTAGTTCAACAGGTTAACTTTGTAATCTTATGTCTTTTTGAAAAATAGATAAATATTATTCATGTGCTTTCAACTTTCAACTTTGCACCGGCGCTTTTGGTGCAGCCGTTTTGTACTTCGTTTTTTTTTTTTAAATCGAGTATCTGTCTGTCTGCTGGGATGTGGTATAATATCTCTTATCATGGATCAGCACGGGTCAACAACAAAAAAATTAATAAAACAGCAGATACTGCTATAATCCATATCTGATATTATAATACACTAATGAAGCTACGCGTAACTCGAAATTTTGAGAGTATAAAGGCTAGGAAACCGAATGATACTGAAACATTTACATCGAAACCGTAAGCCTAACTTTAACCTATATGTATATATATAAACTAAGCAAATCCTTAAGTCTGAACCCTGTAATTTAAAAATAAAGCACACTTCAGGGGTATGCTAGGCCCCATTTGTGTAGAATAGGGTTAACCCTCTATCTAGAAAACCCTGGTACCGAAACATCTAAACTATCATGATGATTGGTATTGGCTTCCCCGCAATGACGACAAGACAGCATCGTGTGAACTGCTCCGGGGTGCTCCCACCCATTTACGGGTTGTGCAGATTGAAAAATTATTTCAGATGTAACCAGCGAATTTTGTTTAGTTTTATCAGAAGACAGTCTCTTTTATTGGTTTCGTTAACAAAACATAACAAAACACCCATAGGCTGCGTTTCATTAGAGCATACACTCGTACAGATCAGACTTTCTTCGCACCATAAAAATTATGTCTAGAAAAATGTCGCTGTGCCATCTCATGTTCCATACATTTTGCCCTTTTCCGAGTGACCCCAAACTGTAGCATGGTCAAACTGCGTCGTGCTGTTAATTAGGAAGCACACGATTTTTCTTCTTTTCAACTGTGGTGGTACAACTCTTGGTTTAGTGGAAAGAGAGGAACACACCATGCATGGATCATCTGGCGCCTATTGAAATGATAAGAAACATCATGTAAACTAATTTTAGCCGCCTAATACAATGACCTACCTTTCATTCATACCTTGCTCTTACGACACAGTTTTGTTAGATCCTCCAGATAAGGCTCTTGCTCGACTTTCAACTTGTATGTCATTCTGTCTCTCCACAGCGTTCGAAAAGATTATAATCTTATTACACAAGTTTCATTCCGAAGTCATTTTATCATTATTTTCACTTTCTTCCTGCTTTCTAACCCCCCCCCCTCTTTTTCCCATGTTCAAAAGCACATTCTACATCGAATTGTTCTTACACGTTTACTTTTTCACTCCGTTTAGTGTTTCACTTAGTCTTTATCTAGCATTAACAATCACACGTTGAAGTGAACTCGTTCGGAATGTAGATTTAATGGAGTACCGGTATGACATTAGGACGCAAGGACCACCTCCTGAAAATCTGTATGTTTTCGGGGTTGTTTGTTTTTAAAATTTTTTTTAACCAAATACCAATGAGAGCGAGTATTAGAGACCAAACTAATGTAAACAATATCTATTTATTTTAATCAAGTGATTTTAAAGTAAACGTTGAAGTGTATAGGGTTATCACTTTATTTCCATTAAGATTACTTTCATAAAACAAATCTTGCTTGCCGTTGGTCACCTTGAGCGCCACTAGCACACTTTTTCATCTTAAATATC